ACAGATCCTCCACTTCTTTTAAGAGTCTCTCAGCGCAGTTCTTATCAACTGGTCCGTCGGGTTATTGTCTCCCCAGAAACACAGAAACACTTCCCTTGTCCTTTTGGAAATGTTTTTTTTCCCTATTTTTGTTTTCTTTTTTCCTAAATCCGTTGTGTTTTGTGTGCTTTTGCAGCGTTTTTCTTATTGCTGGTGTTTTCTTGAGTTCCAGTCCGTTTGGCCTCTCAGGGCCACCGTACTGATGGCTTGTTTAAAGCTTTGATTGTCAAACAATAAAAAAACATCCACAGAGAATTTTATTTAAAAAGATGTGCAAGAGTGTCAGCAAACTCTTCTTCTATTTCTACACTTCAGTTTAACACACACACACGTCCGTGTGGTAGATTGGAAATGTTTGTGACCGGAGAACTGTGATGCCAAAATTCATGCTTGAGATTTAATTTGAACAGTAGCATGTCCTAATTTCTTAAGATATGCTTGTTTACCATGTGACTCCAACACATCCTAACACATGTCAGGTTGCGTTAGGTTGTGTTTGAGCCACAGCCCGACCCTAATCTTTGTCAGGTTGCTGATGAAGAGGTGGACGTGAGGTTGAAGTGCCCAGACTCTGCAGATTTACACTTCGCTCTGCTTTTTTACTCTAAAAACTATTTTCTTGATGAACAATCTCATAGTGTTTGTGAAAACACCATAAACACAAAGTGTCAGTTCCTGTGTGAGGTTTTAAACGCCATGTCGCCTCACCTGTTTGGGTCGCGGACTCTTCCAAGTCAATCAGTCGCTCAGACATTTTCCTGGTTGGTTAGCTGGAGGACGACAATTGAGAAAATGCCGACATGGCGCCATTAATGATTTAGATAATCTTTGGGTTGTCACCGCAACAGATTTAGAGTCACTGCTACTGGATATCCGGTGACTTCCACGATTTTTAATTAAATTAATGCAGTCTAAGAGGATTACTGACCTGCGGCAGACTTGTGTGCTTGCTGTAAGTCCTTAAACCTACTGCTTGAAGAATGAGCTGATGAATGTGGTCACTAAAATGATGAAACACAATCATAAACACAAGATTACACAATCACAATGATGCTGCAAATTTAGTGATTAAAACAGATGTGTGAATGCAACAGGAACTACACATTTAGATGCATTAGCATATTCTTATTGCAAATACTGGTAAAATTACCATCTTGCTAAACTTTTGACCTTCGCACTGCTTCCTAATGTCTCTGTGATGCTGCTGTTTGCACAGGTAGGTTGGCCTACATCCACCTCTATGCTGTAGCCAATATCTGATTGGATTAAATGATCTGTTCCCAGGGTTCCAGGTAGTGCAGCCCTGCTTCCTGTATGCAGTCACAATGCTCATCTGGGGTAATGATCTTTAAGACGGCAGGTCTAAGTTCCTCTAAGGTCACAGCAAGACGTAATTTTCTGTGATTAGCTCTAGCATTAGCAGATGGAGCAAGGTAAACAGCCTATACTTGTTTTTATTATTATTATTGTAGGTCTGTTTCTTTGTGTTTTGGTGAGAAATAGACGTCTCGTAACCATCTGACTTCCAATTAGTCACAGACCCGTGACTAAACTCAGCACATCAGAATGAACTCTTTGTTTGTGTTCTGCACAGAAGCTTTTACTTTAAGTCATCAAAGAAACTAAACGAGAATAAACAAAAACAGCCCCTCGGATACATAACGTGGCAACATAATGTAAATTATACACATGAAACATAAAAACGTCCCCAAAGTCTGTGTATGTAAGCAAAACACACTGATCAAATAGCTCGTATACTTTAAATGATTTCGTTCAAAACTCAGCTTCACATTTCTAAACCCGCCTGTGTGACTTTTTACTGCGTTATTAACAAAGGTTGTCTTACCTCCCACGGTCACAGTGAGGTCCTCCCTTTGTAGCAGCAGATAACCTTGCACTGATCTCCACTCAGTCACTTCACTGAGCTATCTGTTGCTGGATGGTGTGTGTTTTTGCGTGCATGTGTGTGTCTATTCCAGCCAATGAAATTGGTCTAATGGAGATTTCAAAAGCAACCCTGTACACCGAACAGAAATAGAGCGCAGATCCTAAGAGGATTTCACCTCAGCAATTAGAAGACTCGACTTGATAAAGGCCTGACTACACTCGATGAAGAAAGAGAGAGAATGACAAAAAACTGAAAGAAAAAAGTGTCT